AAAATCTGGACCATGTGTGGGCTTATTGGTAAAGGAGTTTTTTATCTGGATCTCTTTATGAATAAGTACCCATTGATGGGCTTATTTTAATGAGATGCTACTAGTTACTTATTGCTCCAATTATGAACAAACTAATCATTTGTCAAAATATGTGATAGTAATGACTTAATTATGAAAACTCATGTGATCCAAATTCAACAATTTTTGATATGTCAACAAACCTTACCCGAGAAACAATTAGGCAAAACAACAAATAAAAGACATTGTTCTAAAAGTTGAAGATTTAAATCGTGTTTAAATTCTAAAAATTCCGTGCATGCATGCTACGTTTCCTTCGAAAACTACGATTACTACGTCATATCAGAGATGTCGAATTGTTTAATTTTGATTCATGATATAATAGTTGAAGGGTCCATGTTATGTGGTCCCACTCACGATGAAGTTTAGTTAGGGTGGTGAGAAATACGTATTGAATAACATAGATGTGCAAATATAAGAAAATGCTAACGGTCACGTTTTGTTTGAATTTATCTATTCCTTGTCAATCATATCTAATATATACTAGACCATCATAAATTCACAAAATTATATTAAGGGGATAACTATTATACTTATAATTCAATGTTTTTTTCTTTTTCTTTTTGGAAAATATAATTGAATGTTAAATTTTGTAAATTGCAGGGTATAAGAGCATTTGATACTAAAAATGGATTTTAAATCAATGAGCTCGAGTGAAAATCCACGGGAGGAAGGCAGCGGCAACGCCACTGAGCAGCCATTGATAAGTGTTCGCTTTGCACGATTTTTACTTATTGAATCTTCGAGTTTTGGTCTTCGTTCATCCAAGTTTCCGACCTTATTTTTATATATTATAATGTTATTTTTTTGATTTCATTTTTAGGTGAAGAGAAGGTACTTTTGCCAATTCGTAACGATTTTGGAAGCGAATCCGAGAATCAAGCCAAACACGTGCAAAAGTGCATTCTATTGGAATGTGACAATGCTTGGTATTTCACACATAACTCCTCCATACAACATCCAAGTGAGCTGATTCAAGTGGAGTTTAAGAGCCCACTGTCAGGGCTAAAACTTTCGTGAAATGCATTGTTGCAATGTTTGGGATGCAAAAGGGTCAAAATAGTGATTGAAGTTGAAGTAGAAGCCAGATCGCGATCGGTCATTCCGGTCACTATCTAAGGGTAAAAAGGAGAGGATTCGGTAGCAGATCCAGATCGCGATCCAAGAATTACTGATCGCCATCAGAGGATACAAAACGGAAAGTTTGAATGCAGAACCATATTGCGATCCACACTTTCTGGTCGTGATCTAGTAAAACCTTGTATATATTGATTTTGATTTCCAGCTCTGTTATCTATTTGTTGTACTTTGATTATGTTTATGTTTTGTTATTCGAAATGATTTCAATTATTTGGCCAACAGTTGAATTAATTGTAAATGGAAATGAACTCGTGAGAATATCTCTCATTTGATTTTAGGAGAACATTGCTCGGGTTGTGGAAAGGGGGACGTAATGCACCTCGGGTAGCCCTTAAGGACTTCTAAATGCGAGGTTCTTAATGGAGATGTTGGACGTGTGGGTAGATTATAAGTACACTAGAGACGTTGGTTAGGGTATTTTAGCATATGGGCTAGCATCTAGATTTGGAATTAGATAACGGATTTGAAGATCATTAACGGGAGTGCATTGGTGGATTTTACCGTAGAAGTGTTCACACGTCGGAATTCCCCGTTTATCCTTGCGGATCGTTCTTTTTATTATTGTTTCTTTTTAGCTTCATTTCTCCCATCATGCCTCGATCGTCTAGATAAAGTTAAATGATGGTACAAATACGGTACTTGGTAAATTTAGGAACTTAATTCCATGTGGTTAGGTACATGCTTTGATTAGATTTATTTAAAGAGGAATAAATCTAATCTGGCAACGTACGTTTTTCGTAAGCAAATTCATTTCTATCTTCGGCAGACGAACTCCTTGCCCTAGAAAATTGCAGAGCTAGAAAAATATATAATTCTATCAACAAGGGTGTACATGTTGTAGAAAAATATATAACTCTATCATTTAAGAAGAAGAGGAGAAAAGAAAATCTCGATTATTTTGCTCTAAAAACAGCCTACTCTGTTGTGTAGGAACAACTGGTTTTTGTCTTCAATCAAGTATCTTATATATAATGGGCTAGAAGGATTTGTACTATGAAAGGAATGAAGAAACAAGAGGGCTCACAATTTGAGTCTAATTAGACTCCATTTTTTTATCAAGCACCCGATCTTGTAATTCTGATAAGAGTTGTTGTATCCATACTACTTCACTAGCCAAAGAAGACAATGCTCTGATCGTGACTTGATTTTTAGCTTTCCAAGAAATCAAAGAGTCCCCTGCCCCGTTTGGTTGACAAGATAAGATTAGCCAAAATAAGATTAAATAATTTAATGAGACCCAATTATTTTATTGGAGGTTGAAAGGTCCAACAAAAAAAACTCATTAAGAGGCAAGATAAGCCAAGATAAGGCAAGATAAGCCATGATTATTTAATTTTGGCGGGTCGACCCGGCAAGTTATTGAGGATACCAAACATCAAATTAAGTCCAACTATTTAGTTAATCATTGCTTATCTTGGCAACCAAACGGGGCCTAAGAAGATAGGAAATATGTGGTAAGCCTCTCGGTGTCTAAGCAACTTCCCCAGTCAGCGTCATCAAATGCTTTTAATTGAATGGTGGAATGAGCAGAAAAGAATATGCCAAGAAATTTGTTCAAGTATCTCAAGAATTGTTGTGCAGCTTGGAGGTGTTTAATGGATAGCTTAGTGACAAACCGACTGAGCTTATGTACGTCGTAGGTGATGATGTCATGTTTTGTTGTTGTAAGATAAAGCATTTGACCAATGAGTAATCTATAGGAAGAAGTATCTGTTGAAGGTGCTTCATCATCAACACTCAGCCTTATGATGGAAACCATTGGGATATGAAATTTGGAGCCATTATGTGATCGCTGCTAGCTCTATTGATAGCAATAAGAATAGGCTTTTGTGGAACAAATCCAAAACCAACTCGAGGACTTGAATAGCATGTCATTTTTCTTTCAATGTTATTTCAGTAGTATTGAGGCCATGCACCTTTTCACCAACAACTTCGGCAGGAAGCCTTCCCAGTGTAGAATCTTCATGTGGGTTGTAACCGTCTTTCACTAAGATTTTATAAGCTTTTGGGCCAAAACGTCTTGTCATTTGGGACTCGGTAAATTCTCCGTTGAGTTCCTTACGTGGGACGAACAAATCCTTTAGGTGCTTTAGAAGTTGATCACTTCTCATCAATTGGTGTTCGGGCAACATCAAATCTTTCAAAGCCTCACACGCTAAATGAGCTTTATCTTGATTATTTCTTTGCTTTGGTTCTTCAACTAGTAGAATGTCTTTGGCCTTTTACCGTCTTTTCATCATAAAGATAGTACTTGGATCGGCAAAATGGGCTTCTTTCTCGGTGAACGATTTATCATCAGCGAGTATTGTTTTAACTACTCCGTGTCGACAATACTTGAAACATTGGTGCCAAGAAGAAGGAACCACACTATTTTCATGTATCCAAGGCCGCCCGAGAAGCATGCGATATGAATTTCTTGCATCAATGACATGAAACAAAGCGTTGGACAACATATCATCACATTAACAACTCTATCCTTATGCTACCAAGGGCCCTTTGTCCTTCTTGATTAAATCATTGAATCATCAAGGACTAGTTTTGAGCTCGTCCGTGGAGATCCCGACTTCCTTTAAGGTGTACAACGGCAAAATATTGACAGCCTTCATCGATTGAAATTCTATTCACCTTCTGCTCACGAGCGAAGCCGGCAACAAACAATGGCCTATTGTGTGGTTTGGAACCAAGAAGTAAATCTTGATCGGCGAAAGTCATTGTTGACATGCATTTACCAATCGCGGTACAAGCTTCACTTGGAGACGGAGCCGTTACACTAGCACCGATCTCCTTTTAAGGGAAGAATATAATAATGCCACAAAAAATTGTGTTAATTATGGGAAGGTCGTGTACTGTCATCAAGTAATGACGATCATGACATTAGGAATAGGAATGAATGGTTTTCTTCTGAGGAAGTTGAGATATATAGGGTCGATGGTTGGGTCGGGTTTGGGAAGTTCCTTAATTTGTAGTTGCAGAGCCTGTACGTACTGCAATGAGTCAAGTATGTTCAAACCCTTAGACTGGAAAATCAAAGCTCGATGAGGTCTGTGATTCTCTCGTGTCCCATTATTGATACTGATTCAGCCTCCTTGGCTAATGAGATTATGCCGTCTTTTCCGCCGTCGTCGATTCATATTTCTCTGTGTTGGTCAAGTGCAGGTTCTTCTTCCATAATCTAACCTCTCTTAAATCTTTGTTATACGATATATTAACTTTATTATTTCAGAACTATCTTTCGTTCGTTTGCAGGTGATCTATTTTTTATTTATGTTGCCTTTCGCGTTTATTTACGTTAATTTGAAATTTCTTGCTTGCTTTCCAGTTTGTATAACGTCGGAGTATTTATGAATGTAAGGTTTGATTCGGGTTTTCTGATTACTGTGTTTCCTTGTCAGAATGTTTGTGAATCGTGTTTAATTGTTGATTGTGTTGCTGCACAAACGTTGTTGGTTATTGTTGTGGCTAACTGTGAGCAAGTAACATCTATGTGCAAATAAGTAAATATTTTATTGACAGAAAATGGAGTCGCAGATAAAGCATGCTAGTTAAATGACTTCTATTTTGGGGACCGGACTTAAATGATTCTATCTGCACTTATAGTTTTATTTATTAATGGTTTTTCTTATACTTGTTTCAATTTTCTTATAGACAAGATATTCATTTAAGCCAAGTAAAATGGCTATCCTGTAACCATTTTAACTAAAGAATATATTTTCATCTGTATAAGCTAAGCAATAATAAAATACAATTTCTCCTCAAAACCTCAGCAAATGATGATCCCATAATTATAGAATTATTTGATATTAAAACCAAATTCTTTCCCAAATTAGCAAATCTATGAACATACTTACTAGAAACAAAATTGTCACAAATGAAAACCAAGTATATTTGCATAAGCAAGCACCAACAACAACAACAAAAAGTCCCATTTTGTATCACTTTGAAAACATGTAAGATGCATCGATATTATTTTTTCCATCTAGCTATATGGCGAAGCTCCAAGAAATGCTTCCATGCTAGCCAATTGATGTTGAAGAAATTTGTATACAGATTCGGTTGTGGTCGATGCAATTCTGATCACCACTCCCGTACCCTGAACACGTTCAATATCAATATCAAAAATCAAAATCAAAATCTAAAACATCAACCAACAACCAATATTCGAACCAAAAGTAGAAAGATGACGTGCCTGTGGCCCAAAAGTAGTGCAAGAAGCAAGAAAACTCGGTTTGGGCAATTTACTGTCTGCAAAACCCGAGCCAATTGTAGGCATACGGAATTGCCGAGACATTAACTTCTTCACATCTTCCTGGATTTGGTTCTGAATAGGCTTCAACTTTGGCCTAAAACACAATGTGTAAGCTCTGATAAATCCGACTCTTACTTCTTATTAAAAAGTAGAAAACCCGAAACATCAAATCAAATAACGAAAAAATATATTCTTGTTCCTACCCCCAAAGTACTATCATGGCTATTGCTTGGTAGTCCTGCAGACGGTCCGCGATACTGCTGTTACTTTCTTGCTCTAACAACATCTGCCGTCAAAGTTGGAAACATTCAAGAAATGATGGATTCGATATTAAAAAAAAAGCAACATAAAAATGATGGGTGATATAAAAAAAAGAAAGGAGAAAGTAAGTACGGTGTCAAGAAATACGGGTTCGTTGTCGTCTAGAAGAATGCGGTTAGTGGTCTTAAAATGGGAAAAGGCCCATTTCTCGCCAGATTCGTGACGGCCGCTGGTTATCCAGTCAACAAGAAGCAAGCTGGATCCAGATGCCAATTTGAAATTTTGAATTTGGGAATATTTTGCAGTGGAAAAGCAAGTGACTGGATCGGGAATTACTACCAACAGTGCATCTTGTCCGACGCTCGCCTACTGAATCGCAATAAGATCATTTGATAATTGATAATGTATGTTGCATTAGACAGACAAATATAACCGAAGAAGAAGACCTCTAATGTTTGTTGAGAAGATTTTGATCCTAGAGATTTGTAAACCTGCATATTATTATTTCCAAGTCCAACATTAAAAAAAAAAAAAAAAGGTGATTTTAGGCAGGCAGAGGAGAGAGAGAGTGGGAATTAATTGTTGCCTTGGTAGAAGATTGAGTGGTGAAAACAGCAGTACAGCCATCACCCACCGTAACGTCAAAAGCAATGGAGTCCCCCTAAAAACAAAAAATGAAATGAAATCAAATTCAATTCAATCAATCCCCCAATTCAATTAACTGGAAGAAAATAAAAAGGCCAACATACAGAGACGATGCCTCCGCCGTAGGTGATGGTGTAAATCCACACAGCATCAGCAGCAGCAGCAGCTCCCACCTGTGATAAAATTGATTCTCTTAGCAATATATAAATCATTGACATAGGGAGGAAGATTCGGTAACTCACCTTATTAGGGACGATGAATTTCAAAGGGTACTTGCAAAAGCATCTTGTCACCTTTGACTTCCCTCCTACCCTCTCCACAACCACCTTCCCTCTCTCCATTCCTCCCTCCCAGGGGCGGTCCCAGGGTCTCGGAGGCCCGAGGCCCTCTTAATTACCAACTTTATTTTGACTTATCAACTCATTCCTCAACCATAATTCCACAACTTCATTTTCAACATATTTTTGCAAGATAATTTACAGTTAAACCTCTATAAATTAATACGGTCGTGACTAGGGAAATTCTATTAATTTAGCGAATTATTAAATTATCGAGTTAATAATTTAACACGTTTTCACCGAGTCGGGACCGAAAGAAAATATTATTTAATCGAGGTTATTAATTTATCGAGGTTCTACTGTATTTAAACCTGAGAGCTCCGTTTGTGATTTTTTTTAATATCCTAACTCAAACTTTTCTATTGCTCATTGTATCGATAGATTAGTACTAACCTAAAATTTATCGAGGTTCTACTGTATTTAAACCTAAGAGCTCCGTTTGTGATTTTTTTTAATATCCTAACTCAAACTTTTCTATTGCTCATTGTATCAAGTAAAAAAAAGTATAGGATTAGAAATAAAAGAATCAAGATAATCACTTATAAACTTAATTAATTCTTAGCTTGTCATTCAACAAAGAAGAAAAGAAAAAAGGAGGGAAATTAAAAATAGAATTAGAAAGAAAAAAGAGGGAAATTTTGAGAAATTAAAAAAAAAAAAAAAAAAAAGAAAAAAAAGAGGGAAATTAAAAAGAAAAAAAAAAGAGGGAAATTAAAAATAAAATTAAACAAAACAAAGAGAGAGGGAATGGTAAGCTTTTAACCTTTAGGTCACGGACTCGAACACGCGACATACAAAAATCTATGAGTAATACTTAGCCAACTATGTTAAACAGAATTCTTAGAAAAATTTTGTAGCCTAGTAAATATATACGCATTTCAAAAAATTGGAGGCCCTAAATGTTTTCGATTTTTCGGAGGCCCAAGGCGACGGCCTTGCTCGCCTTGGGCTTGGGCCGGCCCTGCTCCCTCCTTTCTCTCTCTCTCTCTCTCTCTCTCTCTCTTCTCTCTCTATACTAGATACATACAGCATCGGCTTCTTTTTTTTGGGACAATCCTCCAACCGTTGACTGGTCCGATCCGATTCGACCATAAAACTCGCAAAAGCCAAGAAAACGGGTGGAATGATTATGGACCGGTCAAATCACGGTTGAACGGGACAAAACCGGCTATCAAACCCGGTTTAGGGCAACAACGGAAATATGTTCTTCTAAGGGTGGAGAGGCTGAGAGTGCTGCGGCTGAACCCAATCTATTGGGGTTTTGATCATATCTTTAGTAATTTATGTGAAAACAATACTGTATTATTTATTAATTTTGTTAATTTTTATTATTGGTATTTTTTTTTTAACTTAGCTTTTGTCAATGTACTAACAGATTTACTATTTAAAAGCTAATTTACATAGTAGATGAAATTTTTACCGATTGGGAATTTATTTCTCTATTTTTATTTTTATTTCCATATACTTATTTGATATTTGTAATTTTTAAAATTGATGATATGATCATATAATATTTAAGTAAGTAGGTGATACCCCCTAATTTTGAAAATATATATGAGGAGGTCTAATAATTTTTTCAACTATAATTAAAAACCAAAATTCTAATTTTAATTTGTGAGACCTTCTTTAGCAACTTGAAATACCTGTTATTTATCCTTTTAATTTCAATTCAAACCATAAACACTTTGTCTTTTTTTTTTCTTTTTTACTCCCACATCTATCAGCCAATATCTCTCCCCTCTCTCTCCCTCTCTTCCTTCCTCTCTCTCTCTATCCACAGCCCTCCGCGGCTCACCTTTGCTCCCCCACCGTCTCTGCGCCGCCCATCGTCGATGCTTCCCCCCACCTCCTTGCGCCGTTGCTCCCCCTATCTCCTTGCGCCGCCGCAGCCACTGCTCCCCCACATCCTTGCGTCGCTGCCGCTGCTTCCCACTGCCTTGCGCCGCCGGCCCTTTTCACGTGCTCGAAGCTAATCGTTGCCTTGAATCACCCGTCCAAATTGAATAGACTCGATGATGCCAAAAACATGATGGATGAGGGTTTGTTTGTCTTAAAGACATTTTAAATCTCTTTCTACATCCGTTTGATAAAATGGTTTCTACATTATTGTTTTAGTTTCTTCTCTTTCTTGGTTGAGGGAAGGGTTCAAACCAGATCTACTATTTCTTATATAAAAAAAGCACAAAAAAAAAAAAAAAAAAACCAGATCTACTATGTTTTTCATGATTTGTGAACAATTAATATTAAAATCTTTTTCTTTGGATTAATTTGATTTTTTATTTTGTTTGATTCTTATCTTGTTCATTTTTGTTATAAATCGTATGTAATTTATTTTTTGTATTTATTGAAGATGATCCGAAATGCCTTAAGTGTGAGAACTTTGTTTGTCTGTAGTAGAAACTTATTCAGTAGTTGTTACTTAGATGGGTGATTTTGGTCAGGTCAATATACAGTTTATATGTAGTCATATACTATCATATGTAGTCATGTATAGTCATGGCTACATATAACTATATATGACTATAGAACTTGTAGTATAGTATAGTCATTTGTAGTCGATTTCAGTACAGTAAATTTTTCATGTAATCTAACTTGCATGTTCCATTCTGCTCTTTAACTTGTATTTTTTTGTCGCCGATTTGGCTTTTTGTATAATTTTATGAGATGCAGAGAATAAGATGCGGTAAAGTGCATTGTGAAGTTGGATTCATGTTACAATAGTCTAGACTTTATGTCACTATATATAACTATAGATAATTATAGATAAGTATGGTCACATGTAGTAACATATGTAGTTATATGTATGCTATAGGTTTTTAAATGTACAATAATGCTTGTTCATGTTTGAAGAATATATGCATATGATTGTGTTTTTTCATTTGTTAGTTGATTTATAATACCAAGATCCAAATTGTGAATTTTGTTGTTGCTTTAGATGAATTTTGGGTTAAAAAGACAGTACATGACTACATATAATACATGACTATTGAACTTGTAGTACACTGTAGTCGTGTAGTATACTTCCAGTACAGTAATTTTACCAAAATTTGAAATAATAAAAAAAGTAAAAAATTAAAAAATTAAAAAATTAAAAAAAATATAAAATAAAGAATAAAAAAATGGAAATATTAAAAAACTATATTTTATAAAAAAATCAATAATAATAAAAAAATATTACAATATATATATATATATATATATATATATATATATATATATATATATATATATATATATATATATATATATATATATATATATATATATATATATATATGAATTAAAAAAATATATTAAAATTAAAAAAAATCATGATATATGCAGTACAAAAATACTAAATGCATGTCCAAAATGTTTTGAATGCAGTTGGTGAAAATGTTGAATGCAGTTGGTGAAAATGTTGAATGCAGTTGGGCGAAAATGGCACATAAGGACACAATAGTACTTTTGCCTCTCTAGGGGTATCTCAAAAAAAGAATTTTAGAGGTGAACACATCACTATATATTTTCCATATAATGGGTGCATATCAAATGGACCCAATATTTAATTTTATTTTCTCTATTTTTTAAATTTACTATGGAAAATTAATGAATTGAATTTCAGGTCGATATTTAGTGAGAGGTGTAGTTTTGGAATATATAAATCATATATCACTATATATAAAATTATATATAATTTAAATTTAGTTAATTTTTAGGGTAAATTAAAAACACCCCTGAAGTATGGTCAATTTACAAAAAAAACCCCTTTTGTTTGGATAATTACATCTACCCCCTCAACTATATTTTGTTTTACACATCCACCCTTATGGTGTCAAATTCAACATAATCATCTAGATTTCATGGAATGTGCTCTAGTTTTTACTCGTTTTGTGTAAAAATACAGTTTATGATGCACCACAATCTGATATATACAAGCCAAAAAACACATATTATGATTATCTTGCTTCAAAATGTAGAGTTCGAATGGGATAAAAGCGGGTACAAAGAGTGATAATATTCCATATAATCTCA